TCACACACACACACACACACACACACACACACACACACACACACACACACACACTCACACACAAATAGGTAGGTTGGTGGAAAGATGATGATGATTCTGGCCAAAACGTCCATCTTTCTAAGACAATTTTTTTCTCCTCTACAATCGGTGGTTGTCTTGGATAATATCTACAGCTTGTCTGTATTGGGCGTTCTGATTATGCCGTTATGCAGTTGACAGTAATTAGGGTGGTATACAAGTCACTCCTTCTGTAGTATGTCGAATGTTGAGTATTTGCCACTGGCTCGCACTTTGTTTGATGAAGTTTTTATGTTGTAGTTCTCTGGTTCCCTCGTTTGTCTTCATGCCTGTGATGAATATAATGCTGTTTCTATTTTTCATTTCAACTTTCGTTTCTCCCATTTTCAAGATTTTTTCCTCAAACACGAACATCCAATACAATGCAACAAGAAGAAGAACACCCCCCCCCCCCCCCCCCATTTTCTCGAAAACAAGCAGCAACAATGGATTAAGAGTCAAAGACTGGTTACCACCCATTTCGACATTCTTTAATCGCTGGACAAACGTGTAAATAATAGTATAATAGGTCGCTTTTAAAGACGAGCGGACTAACCCAGACTTCGGGGGTTTCCAGAAATCTTGACCTACACCAAAAGTGGGCATTGCCCCACCTATAGAAGGAGTTTAGTTTCGTTGGTGTGTTTTTTAGTAGAGGTATTACGGCGCTCGCAACTGCATAAGGTCATATGAGCGCCGGAAGATTAGAGGTGTTACAAGAGAGTAACAAACATAAAAAAGAAGGAGGGGAGATAAGGACGGTAGATTTTTGATCGGAAAGAAGAAGCAAACCACACCAGAGCACCCACCAACCACCCACTCGTTGGTGTGTATATTTGTTTGGTTATGTAAAAAACTCTCCTTGTCTTTTAAAGAAACTGAACAAGGGGCAAAAACTTCACCTTCGATTTTTCTCAAAACAGCAGTTTTCGGGATAGCCCCCTTGTGCTTAAAAGCGACCAATTCTAAGCAGCCAAAGCTGACCTTGAGTGATAGGCTGAGTTGACAAAGTTCGGGGTTTTTTTTTCTACATTGGGGGTGAAGAGAAATAGCCCGGGGAGGGGGGTTAAGGTAATTTGACAAGAGTGGACTCGCTCGGAGGGCGTTCTCAAGTTGACAATGAAGAATGAAGGGAAATAACCAGTACAAAGTTATTAGTAATAAAAGAGTTATGGTTCTTTCAGCGTGCCAGCTGTAACTCGACACAATTTTACAGATTCGCGAGGTTGCAATTTTGTGTCAGATCTACCCAGAGATTCGGTGCAAACGCGCAGAAAACGTATAATGTAATCTAAAGAAATAATAATGTACCTTTTATACAGCAATCCAATTTTAAACGTATAGTGTGTGAGTGGAGTATACTTTAGCGAATGTTTTTTTTTTCCCCCTTCGTGTATATTATGCTCACGTATCATAGGCCTACCTATCTTCCGAGGCGCAAGGCGTTTTACGGCAATAGCAACTGCATAAGGTCACATGAGCGGGCGGGACACACTAAACATTTTTAGTTGGTAGGGAAATTTGATTTTTTACTCCGGTGGCTGCCGAGGCATACTCTTATGGATTTTGGGCCATCAAGGAATCTTAAACGTGCGCAACTATACACTTTGAATAATCGAAAATAGAAGAAGGGGTGAAGAACAAAATGTTTATTTCTTTATTTATTTTTGTATTT